CTGAGTTTTAGGCATGAGAGGAGGATCCCCAGGATGCGTGAGGATTTCCATTGCCATGGAGTCCCTTGCCCTCCTAATTAGCCCCTGAGGATGCCCCGTATTCTACGATAACCCCCAAATTGCTTCTGAAAAGCTCTTTTTCCTTGTACCACTTCAGTTGCTTTAAAACAGGATTTACACCCCCGACCTAGCCAGTAGTGCACACTAAGCCGAAGGTTCAGTAAAGTAATGGGTATGCCAGAAGGCATTGAAAAATGAGTTATGTGCGGGCTCGATTTCTTTTCGAAATCGCTCGGATTTTCCCCAATTCCTCGAATCGCTGAAGTGATTGAGTGACTAATCACGTCAAAAACCCTCCAATAGAGAGAAACTTCACATTCTAACCAGAGATACGGGGGAACAAAGGGCGTTAGGTATAGTTAAGCAAGTGCTATCTCAATATACCTGATTCTGAAGCACCCCAAAAATTCATTTTCGCGTCGGCAATGAGGGGTGGCGTGAGGCCCCCAATGAGAATTTTTTGCCTTAACGACAGTGTGAGTTTTCGTCCTGGAGCCAGTGTTCGGATTAAAGTTTGGATCGTGCAGCTCAGAGCAGGTTAAACAGAGAGGAAAACTCGACTTATACGACGCCCTAGAATGGCTTCATATGGGCGCGCAAACCCCCTATACATATTTCCAGGTCCTACAGGTCGTACTCCCATGCTCCTTGCTTCCTACCGAAACTATACCCGACTTTACTCAAAGTGTCGTTCATAGAGCCGAATGACCCGCTGTAGAGTAATCGGCGGCGGCTCACCACGGGTCAGAGGCAGGGTCAGTCATGCGTTGCGCGTTTTTCAACGAAACGGATCGTATTTGAGCTTTTCTTTTTTAAAAGCAGAGGGAGGGTGGTATTTTGGGCTGGTTAGGGTCAAAAGGTGGGAAAAGAGGGTCGTATTTTTGGAAGTTGAAAGGGTCATGGCGGTGTTCGTGTTTGACGGCTTTGGTAACAATCTTAGGGAAAACTACAAAAAAAGTAAGAAGTGAGAAAAATACAGGATTTTCCATTGAATCAAATGCTGTAGAAATATCCATGATAGTGAGGGTGGTGAGCGAGTAGGGGTGAGCAGTGTCGTGCTGGAGGAGCTTCAAGGGTGGATTTAGTGGAAGGGGGGGAGGGGTCGTATTTAGACGAGATGGTCATGAACATTTTCAAAACCTGTGCAGAGCACGGTTGACCCTGGTCAGAGAGATGCTTGGGCTGTCGCGGCTTGCTCACTAATAGCTGCTCGCTTAGGATCATCCACTAACAACTCTGCCCTCTTCGGCGCAAATGCTGTATGAATTGCAGCAATTTAAAATATTCTGAAAGAGCTACAAATTGAAATTTCAAGTATCTGAGAAGGGGTCCTGTACAGAATACTGCAGAATGAAGTTTTCAAACCAAGGCAACACATTGAATTTTAACCATTTCTGTGGAATCCTCACTTCGTACTCCTCGAAGCAGTAATGGGGCGGAGCACCGACAAACTCGACCAGTATTGTCCTCGTAATCGACTGCAGAAATATTCGCCGAAAAGCCGCTGTCCATTTGGATGCCGCGGTATTTGCTGAAATTTCGAACAATCAGTACTGGAAAGCAAATTTAGAAACACTGCTATCAAAAAGGGGATGGGGGTTGAAGTGGATTGTCCGGGTGCCTGTTACAAAGTGCACGGTCTTCAAGATCGAATCTCGACTCCTATACATCACCAACCCTCGCTTTCTTCGAACTGCTACAGAAAATCAGCTCATCCTAGTAACCGCAGATGAAAGCACGGAAACGGAACGGCACGTTTTTGCCTCTGCTTAGGGCGGATGTGAAGCAGCTCATCAGAAATGAAGGTAGAGGTGGTAAGTGGTGTAGAGATGAAGAAAAACACAAGGAACAGCCAAGAACCGAGAAGTGGGACCCATTTTTCCGGCTTCCGCACTGATGCAACTCTCATCGTTGCTGCCCCTACCAATGTTAATGCTCCCCCTGCTAAGCCGACTGGAAACAAACGGCGAGGCGCGCCATTCCGCCTGCGTTTTCGTTCTAGCATTATTCCGCCTTTCTAACCTCGACCATTGTCGTGAATCCTCTTTCAAGATAGCGAGTGTATTACAGCAGTGCTCGCGCAACGGTGTCCTCTCATTGTCAATTGCGGATCGGTCCTGCCAAAATACCAAAAAACCCATTCGGTGAAACTCCAGTTCGGGGGGCCACTCCATTTTTTCTCCAATACTCAAGATAAGGATTAGAGGGCTCACGACACGTAATCGACTCATTTAAAGTAGACTTCTGATAAATATTGGTGTAATGGGTGAGAAACCCTGAAACGTTTTCACATTTCCGCCTGCCATGACCCAAGGGAACGGTCCTGGACCAGGAGAAAGGACACCTTCGCAAAGGGCTAAGGGTGCAGGAGCTCCAGGGTGGATCACCTGTGCAGAAAAGTGGATGGGATGTGGGCAGGTAGTGTGGAATGTAGGACATCCACCGGTCCTTATCAAAAGTACGCTCGAAATGAGTCGTTCACTTATTATCTTATCCGTAGTGTTCGATAGCCCAAAGAACTGCTCTCTAGTACTACGGATAAGATAGCAATGGAGTGGCCCCCCCGAACTGGAGTTTCACCCGACTTCTCCTACTTAA